GAGGGCGGGGCCGCACAGGCAAGTGGCGGGGCCGCGGAGGTAGGTGGCGGGGCCACACAGGTAGGTGGCGGGGCCGCGGAGGTAGGTGGCGGGGCCGCACAGTGAGGTGGCGGGGCCGCGAAGGTAGGTGGCGGGGCCGCACAGGTAGGTGGCGGGGCCGCGGAGGTAGGTGGCGGGGCCGCACAGGTAGGTGGCGGGGCCGCGAAGGTAGGTGGCGGGGCCGCACAGGTAGGTGGCGGGGCCGCGGAGGTAGGTGGCGGGGCCGCACAGTTAGGTGGCGGTGCCGCGAAGGTAGGTGGCGGGGCCGCACAGGTAGGTGGCGGGGCCGCGGAGGTAGGTGGCGGGGCCGCACAGGTAGGTGGCGGGGCCGCGAAGGTAGGTGGCGGGGCCGCGTAAGGTGGCGATGGGCGCGACGGGCGCGACGGGCGCGACGGGCGCGACGGACGCGACAGGCGCGACGGGCGCGACGGGCCTAAAGGGCGGCGCGAAGGGCCGTAGGGGCGGCGCGACTCGGGCCGGAGCAAAACGCGCTCCGGGCAGGAAAAAAAATAATTTCGTGGTGGTGGGCCCTAGGAATCGTTCCCACTAGGGAACCTGCTCGATACCATGAGAAGAAACGAGGAATGGAATGACTAAGTGAAAGTTGGGTACAAAAAGCAAACCCTAGAAAACTGTACCCCATATGTGCCACCCCACTATAGCCTACAGTAGCTATGTCATATAAATCTGACAGCAAGGGCCGAGGGGTGTGACACGGGGGGGGTGGGACAATACGAGGGGGGTGAGGGCGGGTGGCCGCCGTGAAGTCCGCATCTCTAGTCTCCCGTGAGACCGTTGCGTCAAAGGCCCGTGGGTCAGTTGCTCTTGCCGGCGAGCGAGCCAGTTACTCCGGTTACCCGTTGCTCCGGTCCCCAGAGGGTCAGTTGCTCTTGCCGGCGAGCAGAGCCAGTTACGCCGTTTGCGACCAGTGCCAGCAGCTTCAGCGGCCGCCCACCTCGTCTCCTCTCCAGTTTCCTCCTCCTCCTCACTTGCCCTCTTCTTCTGCCACCAGTCTTTGCCTACGAACTGGTTCTGTGACTGCTTGTTCTGTTGGCTATACCCCACTTTGCCTATGGGGGTGTGTCAAACTGTTATTTGTTCTGTAGGCTGTAGTGGGGTACTCAACAGTGAGTACAACCCTGTTAGGGTTTCCTACATGTATCCCACCTGCCTGCTAGTTCAAACCCTCTCCTGCCATTCCTTCTTATTGCTTAGTTTCAACAGGCAGTGGCGGGCACAGGTATCGCGGCGGGAGTTTTACGAGTCAAAAAATGTAACGCAGAAACCCGAGGCTCCGCAGGTACCTCGGGAGCAACAGGCCTAGCGCCGTCTGTTGACTGCATGTGCTCCATGCCGAAATCGCATGCTGTATCTCAACAGGCAGTAACACCACGACGCAGTGACGGGAACAAGCTAGTGGGAAGAGCTGAGAGACGGGCTTGGCGTGCGTGACTGAAAGGCAGAAGAAGGCTGTGAAAGAGCGGATTGGAAGAGACGACGACATGAGAGAGGAAGGGAGGGACCATCAAGAACCGCGCCGAGTGAACGAGGGTTTCACGCGTGGGTGGGTGCATGTCTTGTTTGTTATGCACCGACTGTCCTTGCACCCTGCCAGCGAGGGGGAGGCAGCAGCCTGGCAGCTACAAGACAGATGTGTGGTATCACCCGCTGTGCCCTCACGCAAAATTTATTACGCGTGCCTGTACAGACAAACGACTGCTCCTACGGCCAACTGGGCTAGTTTGGCGCTTTCAGACGAAACCATACGCGATGTCTGCTCTAGTAGCCAAACACTTAAAACTGTTCTGAAAAAACATATGACGCTAAACCATTTGTCTGGGCTCTCATATGAGCCTAAAGCATTTGTCTGAAACATAGACCAACAGACTAAAATAGTCTGATAACGAGGGCCCTGACGCACGCACGCACGCACGCACGCACGCACGCACGCACGCACGCACGCACGCACGCACGCACGCACGCACGCACGCACGCACGCACGCACGCACGCACGCACGCACGCACGCACGCACGCACGCACGCACGCACGCACGCACGCACGCACGCACGCACGCACGCACGCACGCACGCACACACACACACACACACACACACACATACACATTGACAGTTTGGAGCTTAGGAAAAGTTACGAGAGAAAAGATGATACCGTAAATTCTACAGGGGCAAGGGCCCGAGAAATACAAGCAAGGGCAAGGCCATAGTATCGGAAGTGTACCACCAACACTTGGATAGAAATCCTACACTAGCAATGTTGTAAGCAGTTAATATAACAGTTTGACTGTCTCACCACCTTGGCTCCCATGAGCTATCGCCTGCTTCCTCCTGACAGATTCCTGCCCCTTGGCGAACTGACTTGCCATCTGTGATAATCAGGCATCTGCGCTACCCCGTAAACAAGCCACACAACCCTGTAACCTCACAAGCAGGGGCTTTATCCCCTCTTTTGCATGTCATCTCCAATCCTGCAGGCCGTCTCATCCAACCCCTGGTGTGCCATCTCCCTCCTCTCTCTGTCCACACCGCTGTTCATAGATAATCAACCATCCTCCCTCCACGACCTGCCCTTCTCCGAATGCCACCTGCTGCAACTCAGGCTGACACCGCACCAACCAATCAGCTGCCATGCTGCTAGCCTCGTCCCACCAGCGGGGAGCACGGAGTAACCAGCAGAGATTAATCTGCCTCACTATAGTCACCTCACCAGCAGAGGCATTGCCATCTCCCCCGCTACAGCCACGACCACACACACTAGCACGTTGTCCCAATCGCCAGGAGCCACCGCTTCCACTGCCGCCGCACCCGCTGCTATTGCCAACGTGGCAGGCGCTGCTGTTGCCACGTGGACGTGGCGCGGGGCGAAGTTGCCGAACGAATCAAAGAGCAGCAGCGACCCGAGCCCAAACCCGAAGCTGCAGAGAAGCATTGCCGCGCTGCCAGGCCAGCTCTTGACTCCGGACCACGGAAGCTTCTGCGAAGGCGCGTTCCCGAACCGCCGACCCGCGAGTTCCGCGAATCCGTCTCCCGCGCAGAGCGCGTTGAGCGCGAGAAAGGCGGAGGGGGAGTGGCGCCAAAAGAGCACAGTGAAGGCGACGAAGCACAGCCCGTACATCACGGGCCCACGCAGCATTTCCCTGCGGTCGCCGCGCCGCGTGACGGAGTTAATAGCTGACTGATCCTTAACCATGCCTAGACCGACGAGCGTGAAGTGGAGGGTGATTAAGAGCGGGACGACGGCAGCCGCGAGACGCGCGTAGGGCTGATTGGAGAAGAGGTTCCACGTCAGCATGAAGATGGGACCGGTGAAGATGTGGATGAGTTTACGGCTGAGATAGACGGAGATCAGACGGAGCGCGACGAGAGATTGGACGGCGAGCAGCCATCCGAGGCAGATGGCGAGCGTGATGCCCGCGGCTGCGGCGTCCTGCCACTCGTCGCTCGACACGAATCGCCGCAACCACATGGCCATGCCGTGAGTTAACAAGAGCGGTTATGATGTGCGGCGGGGAAAACTAGACTCGATGCGCGGGAAAAACGGTTGCACTACTTGCAAAGAGACATAGGACGATAATGGGTTAGCATGCGAGTAGGGTAGGTGATTGAGGGAAAGACGAAGTGCAACGTTGGAGGAGAAAGAAAGCGAAGAACGCGTAGGTGGTCCTGGTGAAGGCGCGCGGCGCCTTGAAGGCGTCTTGAGGCGAGCTGAGCTGCTAATGACCTGATGACGCGCAGGTGCCGCTGGTAACCTGGTGAGTTCCGCGCACGTTGGGCGACGGAGAAGCAATTCAGTCCCGATAATCTGTGTACAAATATCTGGAACTGGAAAGCAGAGGCGCCGGCGAATGCCGCGCCTACTGCCGCTCAGGGGGTAGCAACGGAGAAGGAGTGTCATGTTGCGCTGTAAGCAAATCCGAATAAAGGTTATTGTAAAACTGTTCGATCATGAGTTGCAAAAGCTGAATGTTACATTGACCGAGGAAGGGGGTAATATAGAGAATGTGTATAAAATGACGCACTGTTCAAATGCATCTGACACTGTGAGTCCAGGAATATGACACTGTGCGCACCCGCCTGGATCGCAGAGCAAAGCAGAGCTTGTCGCGAGAGTCACTTTTCTCGCAGCCTAGATTTCGTCGCTGCCGCTCTCCGCCCGACCTGGCTCTCTCTCCTCGTGCCCTGCCTTCGCGAGCTGCGTCTGCGAGCGCGTGACAATCGCGTTCGATATTCGTTATGTCATGAGTCGTCTTACCAAGGTCGCGTCTCACCAGACCTAGGTCTGTAACCTCTTCGAGCGCGCCGCACAATAAGAGCAACAGCTGTACCAACGCACTGGCCCGGTAGACTCCCTCCATTCAGATTCGTTCCCCCCGTGGTCGCGCGAATCGCCGTCCTCCTCGATCCTTCCGTTTCCCTCCGTTGTTAGGTAATTCGTTGCGAGTTTTAGTACTAACCGCATCGCGAATCTGTGGCTCGAATTCGAACGCGCGCGCAGCCACGAGCGCATTGCGCCCGCAGGGGAGGCGCGGAAGGGCACCAGCGCGCCGAGAGTTCCGCCAGTGGGGGGAGAAGCAGCCGCGCGCGGAGCAGGGGAGTGGCAGCAGCGCGCCGAGCAGCGCAGCGGAAGGGCTCGGGGAAGGGCGGGGTTGGCGGAATGTCGGGCGCCGGGGGATCGCTGGGCGTGAGCAGTGGATTCGTGGCAGGGGGGAGGCGATGGGAGGATCTGCGGAAAGATGTGAGTCGCGCGGTAGCGCTGTCGCACGGTCGCAAGGTCGCATAGTAGCACACATTGCTCAGTAGCTGCCGTTGCCGTTCCCACTTTTTAGGCAATGCACGTTTGAGATGATGCAGGATCCAACCATGGAGCTGTTGACACGTGGTGGCCTCACATTCGCGCACCTCCCTTGGCCACGCTGAGTCGACTCCAAGTCACCACACGGCAGTCGCGGCGGGTGCAGAGAGAGATGGATTACCGCCTCGCAGCCTGGACTATCGCTCACTCTCCCACTCCCCCACCTCCCCCAACCTCCCCATTCCCCTCCCCCATCTCCCCCCGCTCCCCCTTCCCTCCCCCCCGAGGCGCGGCGGGTGGAAAGCGAGGTGGGTCATCGCCTGGCGGCCGTAAATTGTGCGCTTTCCCACTTCCGTCCTTCCTCTCCCTCCGTCCCCATCCCCCTCGTCCTCTCTTCCCCCCCTCTCTCCCCCCACCCCCCCACCCCCCCACCCCCCCTGTGCAGGCGCGGCGAGTGGAGAGCGAGGTGGACCACCGCCTAGCAGCGTACTCCAAGCTCGGAGCGGCCTTCGCGCTCGCCTCCTCCTCCACCGCCGCCGGTTCTCTGCCCGACCCTTCCGAGGCACAGGTGGGTCTGCCGGCGAAGGTGGGTTATTTTCTTCCTCTGTACCACACCCCTCCCCCACCTCGCCTCGCCTCGCCTCTTCCTCCACCGCTGCCGGCTTGCCACGCCATCTCTCCAAGGTACAGGTGGGAGCGCTGCTCCTTTGAGAATTATCTAACGTCACCCCCCTCCCCGACGCCTCCTCCTCCTCCTCCACCGCTGCTTGCTCGCTGCCCGACCCCTCCGAGGTTCAGGTGGGTGCGCCGCTTCGACTGTACCACCCTCCTCCCCCACCCCACCGCACCTCGCCTTCCACCGTCGCCGCCTCACTGTGGACCCCCTCCCACGCGCACGCCCTGTGGGTCTGCCCAACCCCTCCAAGCCTTGCCTTGTTTCCCCAAGCCATGCAGAGCATGGGGGCAGTGGTTGGGGGCGGAGCATGGGGGCAGTGGTTGGGGGCGGAGCATGGGGGCAGTGGTTGGGGGCGGAGCATGGGGGCAGTGGTTGGGGGCGGAGCATGGGGGCAGTGGTTGGGGGCGGAGCATGGGGGCAGTGGTTGGGGGCGGAGCATGGGGGCAGTGGTTGGGGGCGGAGCATGGGGGCAGTGGTTGGGGGCAGAGCATGGGGGCAGTGGTTGGGGGCGGAGCATGGGGGCAGTGGTTGGGGGCGGAGCATGGGGGCAGTGGTTGGGGGCAGAGCATGGGGGCAGTGGTTGGGGGCGGAGCATGGGGGCAGTGGTTGGGGGCGGAGCATGGGGGCAGTGGTTGGGGGCGGAGCATGGGGGCAGTGGTTGGGGGCGGAGCATGGGGGCAGTGGTTGGGGGCAGAGCATGGGGGCAGTGGTTGGGGGCGGAGCATGGGGGCAGTGGTTGGGGGCGGAGCATGGGGGCAGTGGTTGGGGGTGGAGCATGGGGGCAGTGGTTGGGGGTGGAGCATGGGGGCAGTGGTTGGGGGTGGAGCATGGGGGCAGTGGTTGGGGGCGGAGCATGGGGGCAGTGGTTGGGGGCGGAGCATGGGGACAGTGGTTGGGGGCAGAGCATGGGGTCACAAGCGTGTCTAGGGACTTCCCTCACCCCCTCTCCCCCTCCCTTTCCCTCTCCCACCCACCTTTTGTGAGCCTGAGATCCTCGAGGGTTACTTGAGTTGCGAGGATGCCACAGAGGTGCTGCCCCTCTTGGATTGGATCAAACAGAGGCGCGGCTGCTGTACCTGCCTTTTCCCAACAGCGACATGGGCGCATTGGGAGTCTGTCCCACCTCACTGCATCCCACCCCACCCTTCGGAAAGCCTGTCCCTCCCACCCTTCCCTTTCGCCACATTCAGGAGAGCGAGATAGAGGCGCTGCTGCAGCAGCTGGCATCGCTCAATGGTGCCATGGGCGCATTGGGAGTCCCACACACCGGGCCACTCCACAGCATCACACCCCACCCCTCTGGAACCCTTTTTCTCACAACCTCGCCTAATATCAGATTCGCAAGGGCGAGATAGATAGAGGCGCTGCTGTACCATCTGGCGTCCCTCAGTGTTGCCATGGGCGCATTGGGAGTCCCACCCACCCCACTGCATCACACTGCAGCCCTCTGAAACCCTTCCCCTGCCAACCTTGCCTATCACCAGACCGAGACGGCGGGATAGAGGCGCTGCTGCAGCAGCTGGCATCACTGAACGATGCTATTAGCACATTGCAACTCTGTCCCACCCCACTGCATCACTCCCCACCGTTTTGAGAACCCATGCAGATCCGAGAGGGCGAGATAGAGGCGCTGCTGCAGCAGCTGGCATCGCTGAACGACGCCATGGGCGCATGTGCTGCTGCGGGCGGGGCGGGAGGGGGCAGCTCGGAGCTGCAGGCGCACACACTCACCCGCCACAACAACATCCTGCTGGAGTTCTCTAGGGTGGGTGCGAGTGAGCGCGCACATGTGTGTGTGTGAGTGTGTGTGTGTGTGTGTGTGTGTGTGTGAGTGTGAGTGTGTGAGTGTGTGTGAGTGTGTGTGAGTGTGTGTGAGTGTGTGTGAGTGTGTGAGTGTGTGTGAGTGTGTGTGAGTCTGTGTAAGTGTGTGTGAGTGTGTGTGAGTGTGTGAGTGTGTGTGAGTGTGTGTGAGTGTGTGTGAGTGTGTGTGAGTGTGTGTGAGTGTGTGTGAGTGTGTGTGAGTGTGTGTGAGTGTGTGTGAGTATGTATTGGTGTGCATCTGGGGCGAACATGCCACCTTGAGTGCAAACCCAAAGATAGTACCAAAGGTGTTTGTTAGCACACATCCGAGTGTGCGTCTGTCGTCTCGCCCACCCCTCACTGCACCCTTACCAGGGGGGGTTGGCGTGCAAGCAGGGCCATCTCACAATCAGCCTGGAGCTTCCTTGCATGGAGGTCACAGAAGAGGAGAGGAGGGGAGGCGTTATTCCACATGCTGAATAACGCCTTCCCTCTCCTCTCCTCTTCATGCCTTTGCCTCTCACGAGCACGGCCATCTCACAATCAACCTGGAGCTCCCGTGAAGACTCAACCCCTTTCCAGACGTTGACTATCGGCTTTCCTCCCTCCTCTTCACACCTTTGCTTCTCTGACGCCTCGTGTTCGTCTCTACTTGCAGGAATTCGCCCGCACGCGCGGCGCAGTGACCAGCGACCCTGGTGTGGCGTGGAGCACGTGGGGCCACATCTTCCCACGCGTTGACACCATTCGATTGCCCACTTCTCCGCCTTTGCCTTTCCCCCTCCCCTTCACACATGCATACCTTGTTTCCTCTGTGCTGGCTGTGCTGGCTGTGCTGGCTGTGCCGGCAGGAGTTCGCCCGCACGCGAGCAGCAGTGACCACCAACCTGGAGCGAGCACAGCTGCTGGGTGTGTTTGGGAAGGCGGGCGGCAGGGAGGGGGGCGGCACGGGCAGCAGTGCGGGCGCTGAGGTGCTCTCTGAAACCGCTAGACTGCTCAATGAACGCACCTCCATCCACTCCGCACTCTCTCAGGTGCGCCCACCCCCAGGTGCGCCCTCCCCCAAGTGCGCCCACCCCCAGGTGCGCCCTCCCCCAGGTGCGCCCACCCCCAGGTGCGCCCTCCCTTCTCGTTCTCTGCAAGATTCCCACCCTCACTGCATGCATGCGTGCTGCCACATGCATTTTATCTTGTGTACAGTGTATGTTCACTTGTAGTTGACACATGTCAATTCAGTGCGTTCCAAACCAGCTCAGCGCATGCCGTCTTTACACATCCTAACTCAGCATATGCTTATTCCTTCATCTGTGCTGTTTGCTGTCCCCCCTTTCCCGCTCCCATCAGGCTGATGACGTCATTAAGCAAGCATACGCCACGTCATCATCTCTGGCACAGCAGCGCTCGCTCCTTGGAGGCACATTTTCTAAAGTCACACTCTTGGGCAACCGAATTCCAGGGGTAGGTTTCTGTGAAATCTCATTTGCACTCGCTCTCTTTCACCTGCTTCCAGTGACTTCTCCTGCTGCTCTCATGCCTGCCCTGCTGCTGTCATGCCTGCCCTGCTGCTGTCATGCCCGCCCTGCTGCTGTCATGCCTGCCCTGCTGCTCTCATGCCTGCCCTGCTGCTCTCATGCCTGCCCTGCTGCTCTCATGCCTGCCCTGCTGCTCTCATGCCTGCCCTGCTGCTGTCATGCCTGCCCTGCTGCTGTCATGCCTGCCCTGCTGCTGTCATGCCTGCCCTGCTGCTGTCATGCCTGCCCTGCTGCTGTCATGCCTGCCCTGCTGCTCTCATGCCTGCCCTGCTGCTGTCATGCCTGCCCTGCTGCTGTCATGCCTGCCCTGCTGCTGTCATGCCTGCCCTGCTGCTGTCATGCCTGCCCTGCTGCTGTCATGCCTGCCCTGCTGCTCTCATGCCTGCCCTGCTGCTCTCATGCCTGCCCTGCTGCTCTCATGCCTGCCCTGCTGCTCTCATGCCTGCCCTGCTGCTCTCATGCCTGCCCTGCTGCTGTCATGCCTGCCCTGCTGCTGTCATGCCTGCCCTGCTGCTGTCATGCCTGCCCTGCTGCTCTCATGCCTGCCCTGCTGCTCTCATGCCTGCCCTGCTGCTCTCATGCCTGCCCTGCTGCTCTCATGCCTGCCCTGCTGCTGTCATGCCTGCCCTGCTGCTCTCATGCCTGCCCTGCTGCTCTCATGCCTGCCCTGCTGCTCTCATGCCTGCCCTGCTGCTGTCATGCCTGCCCTGCTGCTGTCATGCCTGCCCTGCTGCTGTCATGCCTGCCCTGCTGCTGTCATGCCTGCCCTGCTGCTGTCATGCCTGCCCTGCTGCTGTCATGCCTGCCCTGCTGATGTCATGCCTGCCCTGCTGCTGTCATGCCTGCCCTGCTGCTGTCATGCCTGCCCTGCTGCTCTCATGCCTGCCCTGCTGCTCTCATGCCTGCCCTGCTGCTCTCATGCCTACCCTGCTGCTCTCATGCCTGCCCTGCTGCTCTCATGCCTGCCCTGCTGCTGTCATGCCTGCCCTGCTGCTGTCATGCCTGCCCTGCTGCTGTCATGCCTGCCCTGCTGCTCTCATGCCTGCCCTGCTGCTCTCATGCCTGCCCTGCTGCTCTCATGCCTGCCCTGCTGCTCTCATGCCTGCCCTGCTGCTGTCATGCCTGCCCTGCTGCTGTCATGCCTGCCCTGCTGCTGTCATGCCTGCCCTGCTGCTGTCATGCCTGCCCTGCTGCTGTCATGCCTGCCCTGCTGCTGTCATGCCTGCCCTGCTGCTGTCATGCCTGCCCTGCTGCTGTCATGCCTGCCCTGCTGCTGTCATGCCTGCCCTGCTGCTCTCATGCCTGCCCTGCTGCTCTCATGCCTGCCCTGCTGCTGTCATGCCTGCCCTGCTGCTGTCATGCCTGCCCTGCTGCTGTCATGCCTGCCCTGCTGCTGTCATGCCTGCCCTGCTGCTGTCATGCCTGCCCTGCTGCTGTCATGCCTGCCCTGCTGCTGTCATGCCTGCCCTGCTGCTGTCATGCCTGCCCTGCTGCTGTCATGCCTGCCCTGCTGCTGTCATGCCTGCCCTGCTGCTGTCATGCCTGCCCTGCTGCTGTCATGCCTGCCCTGCTGCTGTCATGCCTGCCCTGCTGCTGTCATGCATGCCCTGCTGCTGTCATGCCTGCCCTGCTGCTGTCATGCCTGCCCTGCTGCTGTCATGCCTGCCCTGCTGCTGTCATGCCTGCCCTGCTGCTGTCATGCCTGCCCTGCTGCTGTCATGCCTGCCCTGCTGCTGTCATGCCTGCCCTGCTGCTGTTCTCCTGTTCCCTTTCTCCTTTGTGCCTCGCTTATCCGTTGCGCTTGTATGCCATAGCTGGTCCCTCACTTTCATGCACCGCTTTCCCCCCCACCATGCATCCACACCCCCACCATGCATCCACACCCCCACCATGCATCCACACCCCCACCATGCATCCACACCCCCACCATGCATCCACACCCCCACCATGCATCCACACCCCCACCATGCATCCACACCCCCACCATGCATCCACACCCCCACCATGCATCCACACCCCCACCATGCATCCACACCCCCACCATGCATCCACACCCCCACCATGCATCCACACCCCCACCATGCATCCACACCCCCACCATGCATCCACACCCCCACCATGCATCCACACCCCCACCATGCATCCACACCCCCACCATGCATCCACACCCCCACCATGCATCCACACCCCCACCATGCATCCACACCCCCACCATGCATCCACACCCCCACCATGCATCCACACCCCCACCATGCATCCACACCCCCACCATGCATCCACACCCCCACCATGCATCCACACCCCCACCATGCATCCACACCCCCACCATGCATCCACACCCCCACCATGCATCCACACCCCCACCATGCATCCACACCCCCACCATGCATCCACACCCCCACCATGCATCCACACCCTCACCATGCATCCACACCCTCACCATGCATCCACACCCTCACCATGCATCCACACCCTCACCATGCATCCACACCCCCACCATGCATCCACACCCCCACCATGCATCCACACCCCCACCATGCATCCACACCCCCACCATGCATCCACACCCCCACCATGCATCCACACCCCCACCATGCATCCACACCCCCACCATGCATCCACACCCCCACCATGCATCCACACCCCCACCATGCATCCACACCCCCACCATGCATCCACACCCCCACCATGCATCCACACCCCCACCATGCATCCACACCCCCACCATGCATCCACACCCCCACCATGCATCCACACCCCCACCATGCATCCACGCCCCCACCTTGCATCCACACCCCCACCATGCATCCACACCCCCACCATGCATCCACGCCCCCACCTTGCATCCACACCCCCACCATGCATCCACACCCCCACCATGCATCCACACCCCCACCATGCATCCACGCCCCCACCTTGCATCCACACCCCCACCATGAGCCCAAATAATTCCTCGTGTCTCACCCATACAGCATTCGCCATGAGCTCATGCTGCTCTCTCTTCCCCCCCACCTCCTCCCCCCTCTCCTCCCCTCCCTGTGCAGCTGAACACCCTGCTGTCAGCCATTCCGAGGATGATGCCGCGAAACTCTCATTCACATGCTGACTTGCCTTCCTCTCCACCCCACCTTCCCCCCCACTCCACTGCTTCCCCTCTCTCCTCTTGCTGTGCAGCTGAGCAACCTGCTGTCAGCCATTCGGAAGAGGTGGTCCCGAGACTCACTCATTCACATGCTGGCCTGCCTTCCTATCGGCCCCCCTCTCCCCTCTCCCTGTGCTGCAGCTGAACACGCTGCTATCGGCCATCAGGAGGAAGAAGTCACGGGACTCGCTCATTCTCGCTGCCGTCGTGGCCGCCTGCACGCTCTTCCTCCTTGTCTACTGGCTCAACAAGTAGTTCCCGTCCCGTGCCATCCCATGCATTTCCGGTCCGGTCCGTGCCCACCACATCGCTTGCCAGCAAGTAGTGTCCTGCCATTCCACCCGGCTGTCGTTCCTGCCTGTCGTGCTGACGATATTCTGCCCCGTAGCTGCCTGGTACCTTTCCGGGTCTTTCTCAATTCCCCCTTTTCTAGATATCAAGTGCTTCTTAGTAGCCGATTATTGAGTTATTTCAATAAATCAAACATGTTTCTTAATCAATGACACAGCTGCCGCTTTATTTGAATTTGGGTTGCAGAGGCTACTGTGCTGTGCTAGAAAGTATACTCGTGTCAAACACTATATCCGTAATGATATTGTCAAGCGGTGTAGCTTGTCGAACTACTGGGAGCTGGACGCAACATAACGAGGAAACGCCATTCAAGGTTGCAGCTTGGGAGCAAACAGGTGTTGGAGGTAGGTAATTCGTGCGTCACTTCGCTTCTCTTCGCAGCACTCGACATTGACGATCAGAATCTACTTTCGCTTCTCTAGCTAGCTATGTATGATATGTAGTAATCGAGGCTCCGTGAAACAACACTATGGTTCTCAATTGCTCCTTCTTATCGCGCTTCCGCTGCTTCGCAAACAAAGTCGACACCTTCACGCGGCAATCTCCAATTCGATCATGATTGCCGCCGTGGCCCGACACCCCCCGCCGTAATCACACCTCGCTACTAGAGACACTAGTACAAGTCACCCGCGCCTGTCCTCACCCTAACGCGCCGTTCCCCTTTCGACGACCCCCCCTCCGCGCGCGCGCGCCCCGGCCAATGGCGATCGCGCGGAGCCACGTCGTGTCACGCCCAGCCGGGGGAGCGCGGTACGGGTCGTCGCCGGACCTGCTGGCGGCGTCGCTGCAGCAGTCGTTCCGGTACGCGCGGCTGTGGACGGCGTTCCAGCAGTTCTTCGGCTTCTTCGCCTTCCTCCTCACGCTCTGGTTCGTCACCTCGCGCCCCTGGCACTCCGCCGACTCCCGCGCCGCAAACTCCGCCGCAAACGCCGGCGCGACCTCCCGTCTCGGCGGAAACTCCGGTAACGGATTCACCGGCGGGAGCGGCGGCGGCGGCGGCGGCGGCGGGAAACTGACAGGTCCGGCGGCGTACGTAGTGGTGGTGTGCGACGAGTCGCAGTTAAAGTCCGCCATGGTGCTCGTGCACTCGATCCGATCCACTAAGACGGAACACGATATCGTCGTGCTCGCGCGCAACCTCTCCGGCACGCCGCGCCATATCTTCCGCGCGCTCGGCGCCACCGTCAACCCGCTTCCGCGCGGCGTCCCCGCGTCCGTGCTCGCGCTGCTCGCGCTAGTGCTGGTTGCTCCTCACCACCGTGAGTCCGCTCCCCAGGTTGCTGCAGACGAAGGCGATACCCTGCATCGTCGTTGTCGCCGCGAAGTGCAGCGAGCCGACCTTGTGCCAGTACTCCTCCTCCTCGCGCTCCTGGGCCTCGTCCTCGTCAAACTTCATCTCAGCGTAGTTGTCGACGAAGACCGGCGTTTTCAGGGTCCGATCGCCCTGCTCCGCGTCGATGAAGCGCGTGGGCGCTTGTCGGCGTAGCCCTGCTGGTGCAGCCATAGCTTCCTCACCGGCTTGTCGCGCACGATCTCTAGCCCGAGGTACTTCTCCACCGGCGAGATCTCGCGCAGCTCGAAGGCTGCCTCCAGCTGCTCCTTCAGCATCGCAGAGCTGCAGCTGGCGGCAAGCGGTCGTCGACGTAGACCAGCACCCTGCAAGCCACTCCGTCGTCGCCGACCTCGAACTAAAGGGCCTCGTCGACCTAACTCTTCTTCCAGCCAGCACCGACAAGGACACCATTGAGCGCCTTGGACCACAGCAGCGGTGACTGCTTCAGCCTGTACCGGCTCTTCAGCAGCTTGCACACCCGGCTGGCCCCGTCGTTTTAGTAGTCTAGCTGGTGCATGAACAGCACTCTGTCGAGCTTGCTCCGCGCGCTCCGCCGCCGCGGGGGACTCCGCCGACCCTTTCTCCGCATCCTTCTCCGCAAACCCCGCGGCGGAGTTCTCTCCGCCCTTCCCCCCGACGACCTTCGCGGACCCCTTCTCCTTCAGCTCCGTCTACTCCCCGCCGCCGCACCCCGCCGCGCTCGCGGAGTGCCTGCCCTTCAAATTCTCCATGTGGCTGCTGCGCCAATACTCCAAGGTCGTCTACCTCGACCCGCGCATGCTCGTCCTTGAGAACATCGACGACGTGCTGGCTCGGCCCGAGCCGACCGCAGCTCCGGACAACTCCCTGCCGGACCGGTTCAACCCGAGCCTGCTGGTGCTGGAGCCGAGTGTGGCCACGTACCGCCAGCTCGTGGCGGAATACGCCGCCATCGCGTTTGGTGATGCGGACAGCGACAGCGAGAGCGCGCGACGCACCCTCGCAGCAGATGACCCCAACCAGCCGCAACCGCAGCAGGAGGGGCAGCAGCGGCAGGACCAGCAGCAGCAGCAGCAATGGAATTTGCAGCGGCGGCTGCGGCGGGGGCCGGTGCTCCCAGTGGGGTCGGAGGACCTCATCTTCTTCAACCACTTCTTCTCGGACTGGCCGCAGCTGGGCGCGCAGCACCACCTCGACTACGGGTGCAACGCGCCGTCGCGCCTGGGGTACTCCGCCACGTGGAACGAGTGGGTGCACCCCAAGCTCAAGGTCGTGCGCTTCGCGGGCGGCTTCGAGCGGTGGGACGAGCTGACGGACAAGCTGTACCCGCCCACACGGCGGTATGATCATCTCAGGTGGGAGCTGTTGAGGGATATGTCTGGGCTGCTCGTGCAGCACGGCGTCATTGCGCCGGGGGACGCGCTGCCCAGCCCGCTGTGCCAGACGGACTTCATGCAGTATGCGCGCGGGGCGCCCGTGCCAAGGAAGCTGTCGGTGGTGATTCTCACAGGCGGGGATTTGACCACTCTTCAAACGCTCATATTCCACTTTGCTGCCATGCGCTTCGTGCACATGATCTATGTCATGGCCAAGCCCAGCGAAGCCCCGGGAGGGGGGAGTGCTGCTGGTGCCGGCGGTGTGGGGGGGGAGTCGTCGGGAGGATTCAACCTTGGCGGCAGCAGCGGGGGGAACACAGGTAGCAGCAGCAGTAGCAGTGGCGGCAGCGCGTGGGCGCAGGGGCACACGCAGAGCATCCTAGCGGCGGCCATCGAGTCGTGGAACGCCAGCAAGCCCGTGGAGCTGCTCCCCCCGTTGCGGCGCTACTCCATGTCGGCGCGCATGCGCCCCATCGCGTCCCTCCCGACGGACTGCGTGCTGATGTGCGACGACTCCGTGATGGTGGGCGCGTCCGTGCTGTCGTCCGCGTTCAAGTTCTGGCAGGAGCAGCCGCAGCGCCTCGTGGGGTTCTTCCCGTCCGCGCACTACCGCGACCCGCACACGAGCGAGCTGGTGTTCGTGGCGGACCCCCGCGAGGAGTACTCCATGGTGGGCGCAAGGCTGCTGCTGCTGCACGCCGACTACCTGCAGTCGTACACCTGCACGCTGCCTCAGGTGAGACCGTGATGGGGGTAGGAGGAGTGGGGGGAGAGGGAGGTGGGAGTAAAGAGGGAGGTGGGTGGGGAGAGAGGGCGGGGGGGGGGGGGAGTTGGGTTGCCTCATTGACCGCAGGAGTATTCGATGGTGCTGCTGCATCGAGACTACAGTTATTGCTGCTGCATCGAGACTACAGTTATTGCTGCTGCATCGAGACTACAGTTATTGCTGCTGCATCGAGACTCCAGTTATTGCTGCTGCATCGAGACTACAGTTATTGCTGCTGCATCGAGACTACAGTTATTGCTGCTGCATCGAGACTACAGTTATTGCTGCTGCATCGAGACTACAGTTATTGCTGCTGCATCGAGACTACAGTTATTGCTGCTGCATCGAGTCTACAGTTATTGCTGCTGCATCGAGACTACAGTTATTGCTGCTGCATCGAGACTACAGTTATTGCTGCTGCATCGAGACTACAGTTATTGCTGCTGCATCGAGACTACAGTTATTGCTGCTGCATCGAGACTACAGTTATTGCTGCTGCATCGAGACTACAGTTATTGCTGCTGCATCGAGACTACAGTTATTGCTGCTGCATCGAGACTACAGTTATTGCTGCTGCATCGAGACTACAGTTATTGCTGCTGCATCGAGACTACAGTTATTGCTGTTGCATCGAGACTACAGTTATTGCTGCTGCATCGAGACTACAGTTATTGCTGCTGCATGCAGACTATTTTCAGTCATACACGACACGTGCACGCTGCCCCAGGTTAGGGGGTTGGGAGGAGTGTGGAGAGGGGAGGGTTGAGTGAGGGGGGGTTGAGAGAGGGAGGGGGGAGGGGTGGTTGGGGTGCCGCATAAAGCTCGAGATGAGTATTTGATGGGGGGGGCGCGGCTGTTGTTGCTGCATGCGGACTACCTGCCGTCGTACACGTGCACGCTGCCCCAGGTAACAGGGAAGGGGATGGGGATGGGAGGTTTGGGGGGAAGAGGGGGGTGGGGGCAGCTAGCATGAAGGTTACACGTGCACGTTGCCCCAGGTAGGGAAAGGGGGGTTCCACGGTGGTTGTGATGGGTTCAAGTCTTTGCGGCAGGCCCCAGGGTGGAAGGAGTTGTGAATGGAAGGAGTGGAGTCCGCCTCGAGCACTTTAGTGCTCTATGATTGGCTGGATTTGGGGCACTTACAGTGTGGGGGAGGAAGGGGAGCGAGGGAAGGGGGGTGTGAGAGAGGAAGGGAGGGAGAAGGTAGGTGCGTGGAAGGGAAGAGATGGGGGGTTTGTTTGCCGTTGCCCCCCTTTCCTCCCCCCTCCCCTGGGTCTTCCACTCCCCCCTTCTGCTGCCATGACACGGCAGTCAGTGCGTCACTACATCCAGATGCCCCCTCAGTGCGCCCTGTGCCTGCACCCTCACCTCTGCCGCTCTTCCCCCCACAAGCTTCCCCTGTCCCCGGCCCCCTCACACGCCAGGCAGTGCGGGACCACATGGAGATGTCACCGCAGTGCGCCCACGCATCCTTCAACTTCCTCACCAGGCTTTCTTGCTCAACCAAAACGACCCTTTCCACGTACCCTCCCTTCCCCCCCCCTCTATGCACTCGTCACGCCAGCAAGTGCGCGACTACATAGAAATGTCCCCCCAGTGCGCCGACGCGGCGCTCAACTTCCTGGCGTCAGAGCTCACGGACGCGGCGCCCCTCCTCGTGGTGGACCCCGACAAGCGCGTCACGGAGGACCTCGCGTCGTCGTTCGAGGACCACACGCGCGTGGGGTCGGCGTGCCTGAACGACCTGGAGGCCTTCTTTGGCGACATGCCGCTGCGCAACTCCACTCTTGCCAAGTTCCACCTCGAGCAGGACACCTTCACCAAGATGCAGTTCAACAAGGCCGGGGGTGGGGGTGGGGGAGGGGGAGGGGGTGGGGGCGCAGGGGGAGGGGAGGGGGAGAAGGACGGGGGGCTGCAGTGGGAGGCGCTGTTTGACGCCACCAAGATGTCGTCCAGCGATGAGAACTTCCGCTTCATGCCCTCTCTCAGACGGGTAACTTCTGATTCATGCCCTCTCTCAGACGGGTAACGTCTGTTTCATGCCCTCTCTCAGACGGGTAACTTCTGATTCATGCCCTCTCTCAGACGGGTAACTTCGGATTCATGCCCTCTCTCAGACGGTAACTTCGGATTCATGCCCTTTCTCTCTCAGACGGGTAACTTAATGCTTTGCACTTGAGAATCCGCAACCCTCTCCACCACGCAGTGGCTGGCAGGCAACTCCCTTTTCCTCGCTCCCTCCCTTGACTTCCTCCCCTCAATGCATCGCTGCTCCACACCCACCTCTTGCCCCCTTGTCAGTCCCTCTCACCTGTCGCACAACCTCCTTTCCTCTGGTTTCACATCTCGTCGTTCCCTCTAAGTTGCGCCACACTCACCCTCATGCCATACTCACCCCGCTGCTGCTTCTCTCTTGACCTCCAATGCTTCCTTCGTGCCCCTCTCCTCCCCCTCTCTCACCCCCCTCACCCCCTCCTTCCCCAGGTGACCAACATGCCAGAGGTGCACGTCTTCCCCTCGCCTCAGCACCCCAAGCAGATCCTCTGCATCCAGGGGAACCTCTCCACACCGCTGTGTTTCTCCGGGGGCGCGTGCAACAACTCGTTCGCCATCGCCACCTTCGATTCCATCCCACCGTCCGCGCTCATGCTGCTGGGCACGTCGCTGCTGCTGCACTCGCGCTACGGCTTTGATGACCGCTTCCACACGCCCAACATCCTCGCCAACCTCTTCTACCCCTACCCCGACTACTCCTTCATGCGCCCCGCTCGCGCCTTCTTCTACCGCCGCGGCGGGCTCGACATGCGCCTGTCGCCCTGGTCGCGCCTGCTGTTCAAGGCCATTCTCGGGGCGCACATCGCGCCGTTCCGCGTGCGCAACGGCACGCGCCCCGTGTGCTTTGAGCGCGCCGTGATGACGCGGCGGTACCGGCCGGCAGCACAGGAGAGGAGCATCGTGCTGCAGGAGTGCAGGAGCGCGCCTGGGCCTACTGCTCCCTCGCCGCCTCCTCCATCCCTTCTCCCTCTGCTACCGACGCTGCTGCTGCCGCTGGGAACAGCACAGCAGGGGCAGGGGCAGGGGCGGCGGCGGCCCAGCAGCATCCGATGGCGGGGGTGCCGCCAGGGCTGCGGGGGTTTGTGAGTTCCGACGCCCACACGATCCGTGTGCTGGTGCTGTATGGCGATGCGGACAGTGGGGGTTGCGGCATGATGGAGAACCTACAGGCTGTGCTCAAGGGGCTGAGGGACCGCTGCCACAAGGCCACTGCTTGTGAACTCGTGGCTGTGAGGGAGGCTAACTTCACCAACTTCTGTGCACAGGTGAGACAAGGAGGAGGTGTGGGGTGGAGAGTGCGGGTAGGGGCTGAAGGGGTTGAGGGAGCGCTGCCACAAGGCCACTACGTGCACCATGAACCATATGATGTCGATGCGCTGCCACACTCAGTTCCAAGCTGCCCCCCCTTTCCCTTTCCCACCCTGCTATCCCGGGTCTCACCCCTCCGTGGCTCCCCACCCTCTGCTGCCCCACAGGTGCTATTCATGGGGGCAGCGTCCATGCTAGTGACAGTGAGTGGAGACGGCACCATGAACCACGTGATGTGGATGCGCCCCGGCAGTGCTGTGTTGGAGCTCGTGCCCTTCGGCATCCCTGAGTACGACCCACGAGTGCTCAGAGTCTACGAGGAAGCTTCCAGGTGAGAGGCGTGTGCAAGGGTGGGGCTATGTTGGGTGCGCTGCACCTTGTGTGTGTGCTGCACCTTGTGTGTGTGCTGCACCTTGTGTGTGTGCTGCACCTTGTGTGTGTGCTGCACCTTGTGTGTGTGCTGCACCTTGTGTGTGTGCTGCACCTTGTGTGTGTGCTGCACCTTGTGTGTGTGCTGCACCTTGTGTGTGTGCTGCACCTTGTGTGTGTGCTGCACCTTGTGTGTGTGCTGCACCTTGTGTGTGTGCTGCACCTTGTGTGTGTGCTGCACCTTGTGTGTGTGCTGCACCTTGTGTGTGTGCTGCACCTTGTGTGTGTGCTGCACCTTGTGTGTGTGCTGCACCTTGTGTGTGTGCTGCACCTTGTGTGTGTGCTGCACCTTGTGTGTGTGCTGCACCTTGTGTGTGTGCTGCACCTTGTGTGTGTGCTGCACCTTGTGTGTGTGCTGCACCTTGTGTGTGTGCTGCACCTTGTGTGTGTGCTGCACCTTGTGTGTGTGCTGCACCTTGTGTGTGTGCTGCACCTTGTGTGTGTGCTGCACCTTGTGTGTGTGCTGCACCTTGTGTGTGTGCTGCACCTTGTGTGTGTGCTGCACCTTGTGTGTGTGCTGCACCTTGTGTGTGTGCTGCACCTTGTGTGTGTGCTGCACCTTGTGTGTGTGCTGGCTTGCCTGCACTCTGACCTGCTGCCACTGCCTCGTGCAAGCACATCCCCGTCCCTTACAAGCACTTTCCCGTCCCTGCCCCCTCCACTCCGTGCCACCCTCTGCCACCCTCTGCCCTCCTTGCTACTGCACGCCACGTGGCGGTGGGTGCGGCAATGCACAAGCAGGTGGGTGCGAGTGGAGCACGACAAGGTGTTTGAGCTCATGGGCCCCGAGTGTCCGCGCAAGAACGCATCGTGCCGCTTCATGTACCGCCGCCGCGCCATCGTGGCCAACGTGACAGCTGTCATGGCGTGGTTCGACACCACGTACTCGCGCATGCGCACCGAAGGGAAGGAGGGCACGCTGGGCGGCAGATACGGTGGAAGAATTTGATGTGATTAATTGTTATTACACTTGTGGCAGTTGGGCATACAGTTGCACATATTATTATTGCATTAGTGAAAAGCTATATGAGCTCCATACAAAGTCAAGTTTTTGCAGATGCCGTAAGTTGTATGGTATATCCTTTCTAATGAGCTGTTCTGCACGTAAGCTGTTCTGCACGTAAGCTAAGCACTGAGCAATGGTAAAAAATAGTCATAGCACTAGTAAACCCGACTCTAATGCACTGTAGACTGCCACGGTCTCACCACGCCCAGCCCTCCCAACTCACCGCACTCGCGGACGTCATTCCCGAGGCGGGTTACATTGCGCTGCTCTCCCCTCCGTCGATGCTCCGAGCGCATGCTTGGACGGGTCGTCAGTCGCCACATGGCGTTCTCTCAAAGTCCCGTCGCCGTCGCGTGGGCAGCTAGCCGTCTCGTCCGTCTGCTGCACACGACATGTCATTGTGAGATTATGAACGGCCATGATCGGTCGGAGCGTTGGTCGCTCTGTCCGCATGCGGCTCGGCAGCGAACGGCGTGACGACATCAGCAGGGTGGCCGTGGCACGCGCGGAGCAGGCAGCGAGCCTGTAAATCGGCGCGGAGCGAGCGACGTCTCTGAACGGCGCCAGACCTGCTGAACGACGTCTTTCTCTGTGTCGCAACTCCGCTCTGGGCTCTGGGCTGCTCTCTCCAACCACCTGCCCTTGCTGCTCCTTTCGCGCACCCGTACCCCGCCCCTCCAGGTCTATCCTCGCCCCTCCAGGTCTATCCTCGCCCCTCCAGGTCTATCCTCGCCCCTCCAGGTCTATCCTCGCCCCTCCAGGTCTATCCTCGCCCCTCCAGGTCTATCCTCGCCCCTCCAGGTCTATCCCCTCCCCTCCAGGTCTATCCTCGCCCCTCCAGGTCTATCCTCGCCCCTCCAGGTCTATCCTCGCCCCTCCAGGTCTATCCCCTCCCCTCCAGGTCTATCCTCGCCCCTCCAGGTCTATCCCCGCCCCTCCAGGTCTATCCTCGCCCCTCCAGGTCTATCCTCGCCCCTCCAGGTCTATCCTCGCCCCTCCAGGTCTATCCTCGCCCCTCCAGGTCTATCCTCGCCCCTCCAGGTCTATCCTCGCCCCTCCAGGTCTATCCTCGCCCCTCCAGGTCTATCCCCTCCCCTCCAGGTCTATCCTCGCCCCTCCAGGTCTATCCCCGCCCCTCCAGGTCTATCCTCGCCCCTCCAGGTCTATCCTCGCCCCTCCAGGTCTATCCTCGCCCCTCCAGGTCTATCCTCGCCCCTCCAGGTCTATCCTCGCCCCTCCAGGTCTATCCCCTCCCCTCCAGGTCTATCCTCGCCCCTCCAGGTCTATCCTCTCCCCCAATCCCTGCCTCTGCTCCTGTGCTGTTGCCTGGTGTAATACCCCGCAATTTCTTTCCTTCCTTAACCCACCCGCCCCCTCGCTGCCTTCCAGCCCTTCCTCCTCCCCCCTTGCACCTACCAGTAGTACCACCGCTGCCGCTACTGCTGCGGGTCCTCCCTGCTGCTCCCTGCAAGACACGAGCTCCCTCACAGGCTCCCCTCCCCGCAACTAACGGGCTCTTTGAACGCCTCCCCGCAACGCTATGGCGCGGATGGCTGCAGTGGCTGCGGTGGCAACCGCGCTGCTGCTGGCTGTGGCGGGCGCCTTTGCAATCGCTTCTCTGCTCATGCGGCGCACACCCGGCGCATGGCACAGCAGCTGCAAGCACACGGGGCAGGTACACACCTATGGTGGTCAGAAGTCCTGTCGGCCGTGAGTGCTCTGCTGATCGCATGCGCCAGTTTGAGAACGCTCTTTTCTTGTCTGCGCATGTCCATCGTGTTTCTCAGCAAGCCTTAATCGCCCAGCAGTGCATCCCGTTATGAAATTAGCCTATGTCTGTGACACGTGTCATTGTATCATGTATGTGATACACTGCATGCATGCATCCACGTGTGTGTTGTTTCCCAGCCCATTGGAGCTATAACGTGCCCTGATGCCATGTGTAATGATGCCACGTGTCATGATGCCACGTGCCTTGCTCAGCTGAATGCTCAAGGGATGCCCACTCACGCCATGCTTCCGGCCTCCCTTCCCCCCGCCACTGCTCCTGAAACGCCTCGGCGTCTTCTGCCCCCTCTGGTGAGCCACTGGTATGGTCACAAGGCCCGCATTGCATTGCCCTGCATTACCCTGCACTGCAATGCGTGACAAGAGAAGGATTGCAATTAGGTTAGCGGTCTGCTTCTTGCAAGAGAGGCGCCAGAGCGAGAAGGTGTGAGATGTTGTAGGCGTCACTCCCACGCTTGCCTCGCCTGTGGGTGGCAGGCGGGCAGCATCAGCATGGGCCATTGAGGTTGTCAACTTTCGTGCTCATGCCATGCCATTCTCTCATGCCATGCCATTCTCTCATGCCATTTCCTTCTCTCCTCCTACAGGTGGGCATCTTATACCTTGCAAGCTCCGCCCTCGTGTTTCTGCTGTGGTGGGTGGGTGTATCACCAGCGCGATGTGGAAAGTGGTTGCAGCAGCAGGGCTTGGCGCTGATGGTGGAGATGGCAGGGCTGAGGAGGAGTGCGGCCATGGCTTTCTTGGATTGCAGGGTACGTTGTTCACGGCAGGCATGTGAATCAGTGCCTGTTGCAGAGGATAAGGATGAGAGCATGTCCTGTCGTGCCATCATTCACCCCCCATGCCTTACACCTCTACCTCTGTGCCGGCCACTGCCATGCCTGCCCGCCTCAACCGTCAGCTTGCTATCCACATGCTCTTTTCACATGCTATCCACATGCTCTTTTTCACATGCTATCCACATGCTCTTTTTCACATGCTATCCACATGTTCTTTTTCACATGCTATCCACATGCTCTTTTTCACATGCTATCCACATGCTCTTTTTCACATGCTATCCACATGCTCTTTTTCTCGCCCCTCCTCTCTTCCCCCATCCCTCTCGCCCTCATCCCCTCCTTCAATGATGCTCCCTACCTTCCATTCCCACCCTCCCTTCTCCTACCCCTCCTTTGCCTCTCATCCCTTCTTCTCCCCTCAACCCCTCGTGCCCATCCTCCATGTTCCCACCATGTGCCAGTGGCGTGCCATCGTCCGTCAACTCCACCATGCTCATCGCCACACATCCAAGTGAGCACGCGCCACCTCACTGCCTGCAACCAACATCGCCCGTGTTGCGCCACCAGTTTCTCGTGGTTGCGGCAGCAGGGAAGCCATAGAGATGCCTCTAGCATCGCTTTGGCTCACCTTTACGTTTCCCCACTCTCGCTGTTTCCCCACTCTCGCCGTTTCCCCACTCTCGCTGTTTCCCCACTCTCGATGTTTCCCCACTCTCGCTGTTTCCCCACTCTCGCCATTTCCCCACTCTCGCTGTTTCCCCACTCTCGCCGTTTCCCCACTCTCGCTGTTTCCCCACTCTCGATGTTTCCCCACTCTCGCTGTTTCCCCACTCTCGCCGTTTCCCCACTCTCGCTGTTTCCCCACTCTCACTGTTTCCCCACTCTCGCTGTTTCCCCACTCTCGCTGTTTCCCCACTCTCGCTGTTTCCCCACTCCCCGCTGTTTCCCCACTCTCGCTGTTTCCCCACTCTCGCTGTTTCCCCACTCTCGCTGTTTCCCCACTCTCGCTGTTTCCCCACTCTCGCTGTTTCCCCACTCTCGCTGTTTCCCCACTCTCGCTGTTTCCCCACTCTCGCTGTTTCCCCACTCTCGCTGTTTCCCCACTCGCTGTTTGTTTTCGCTGCATTCTTGGGTGTTAGTGGCGTATCTCAACACGTCCCTATGTGATGCGGTGTTCTCTCATTGCTCTCATGTTGCCTTGGGCAGTGAGATTGGCAGATCAGGAATGGGCCAAGTGACTGAAGCTCGTGGGATGCGTGCAGAGCAGGGAGCACCGAGGCAGGGATTGGAAGGGTTGATCGGAGCGCTAGCAGAGCAGGTGGAGGGGGCAAGGAGGGAGGCGGCGGCAGTGAGGGGTGAGTTGGCGGAGCACAAGGGGCGGCTGGCAGGGCTGCAAGAAGCTCTCACACGGACTCACCTTGCCAACCAGCGATCTTGGGAGGTTAGTGTGGCTGTGTGCTGTAGCTTCTTTCAAACTAACACGCCATATATCTTTTGCTATAATCCTTTCATGGAACGCTTTATCAGTTCACTCGTTTGTGAGAGACGTTTGAAGAACGCCTTTTGTCCTTCTCGTTGTATCATTTGCATCACTCCTTACATCAGACCCTTCTGTCAGTGTGGTGTGGAGACGCATTGAAATGCACCCATGTGGAGCTGCAGAACGTGCCTAGTCTCTCCACCACCGCGCTGCGCCTGCTCTCCACCATCTCTCACCTCCAACACGTCGACTTGGACGGGTCGGCAGGCTTCAGTGCAGAGGGCGTGCGTCTCCTCTACAAGCTGCCTCGCTTAGAGGACCTCAGCTTGCGCGACACAACCGTTGCAGACGAAGCACTTATCGGCATTGGGGAAGCGAAGAGCCTTGCACGCCTCTATCTGAGCCGCACCCAGGTGACCGATGCTGGGCTAACGCACCTCGCTGCTCTTCCCGCGCTCAACACCCTGTCGCTGCTTGGGTGCCATGGCGTGACTGGCATGGGTATGGTGCATGTGGGGCGGCTGGGCGGCCTGGAGTGGCTGTATCTGCAGGGCACGGGGGTGGACGACACCGGGCTGCACCATCTGGCGTACCTCAGCAAGCTGCTCGTGCTCTACCTGCCTGGAGGGGAGTGTGTTGATTCCAAGAAGCTCTGCAGGCAGCTGGGCAAGTAGGTGGACAGGAGTATGAGGCTGGAGTTGGTTTGGGTCGTGCATTTGCTTGATACCATATACCCCAAATACTGTATAGTGTCAGAATTCGAGACTAACACAAAGGGCGTGTCAGAATTTAAATTTGTGCCAGTAAAAGCTGATTTGCAATAGCATTAACATGTACTGTATACAGAAAAGGGGGGACTTATAATGATTAGGGGCGAAAGGGGGGTCCTCAGAAAACCTGCCACAATAAGAGTCCCACCCACTACCCATTCAAGAGTCCCCCCGGGGGACCATTTTACCGGCAGGTCCTATAGCCGGCATTCTACAGTAGTACTGGTAATAGTCTGGTTAGAACAAAGCGGTTGCACAAAGCTGTTGAAATGTTAGCTCCTTAACTTACGGCAAGCACAGCTGCATGCCCTCCCACATCGACGACACGGTACAGTCAAACCCTCCATTGAGTGACCGAAAAAGGTTCACTTTCCGCTTGTATCGAGATGCAATCAGCTTGCCGCAGGTGTCTCCCCTCCTCACGAGGTAAAACCGACGAGTCTCGCACTGAATCCCTCCGGAACCCGGCCGCTCATCCACTAGCAAACACACCTGGTGTGTGCGAGGGGTCAAACCACAGGATTCAAACACACCTGGTGTGTGCGAGGGGTCAAACCACAGGATTAGCGTAAATGCAGGTCGGCATGCCATGCGCGCCGTGTGAGGGCGGTGTCAGGAAGTTGTTTTCAGCAATCCAACCTTGAGCTTATCAGAAAAAGAAGCCCCAAACCCGTGACAGCATCAACACCAAAGCCAGAACTGTGATCACTGTCAAGTTGAAGTTGGACCTTGCAAGTTGGACGTTGCAATGCAAGTTGGACCTTGCAAGTTGGACCTTGCAAGGCCCACGTCAGTCTTGCAAAGAGAACTGGATGGATGGTTTCAAAAGACAAAAGCAAGCAGCATGTACATGTGGAGTAAGCCCCCACTATGTGGAGAGAACAGCAGGTTTCGCCAACAGCACCGGGTGGCAGGTGGTGGAAAGAGAGAGCCAGGAAGATCAGAAAACTCCTTGAAAAGGCTCGAAAGGCTTGAAAGTGCTCAGTGTAAAGTTCCGCGTGCATTTCAAATGAGCTCATCGAGTCGAGAAGTGAGTCGCTCCACCCAGCAGCACCGGGCAGCAGGTGGTCGCAGTAGAGAGCGGGGTTGATGCGGAAGGTCTTTGAGTAGCCCATGCGGCTCCACCCGTAGCCGAACGCGGCGACCTGCTGGCACGTGTGCAGGTCGGGCTCGAGCGCCTTGTGATCCATGCAGGCCGCCACCGGGAAGTTGGGGGTGTTGCTGTTGTTCTCCACACACACGCGCTGCAGGGCGGAGGGGGATGGGGAGGGGTGGAAGGAGGACGGTTAGGGAGAGGGTTAGAGAGAGGGGGCGGGGGTGGGGGAGGGGGAAGGAGAGGGGGGAGGGGAAGGCTAGAGGGGAGAGTGGCAGTGGAGAATAGCCCATGCGACTCCACCCGTAGCCGAACGCCGCAACCTGCTGGCACGTGTGCAGGCCGGGCTCGAGAGCCTTCTGAGTCACGCAGGCCGCCACGGGGAAGGTGGGGGTGCTGGTGTTGTTCTCCACACAAATGCGCTGCAGGAAGGATCGGGATGCAACGGGGGAGAGGGAGGGAGAGGGGCTTGATTGAACAAGGTTCATTTCCCCTGGAGCGAAAAGATATGTATTTAACAGTCAGCTGTATCACGGCTTGAGTGTTTAAGGCACCTCGAGGTGACATAAGAACTAAAGGACATTAGACACCCAATTGCGAGACAAACTAGAGCTTTACCAACTTAGCATAAAATAACTTCATCGCTTGACTTTTCGAAGGAATAAGGCCGCAAAACTATCTGCTGGAGTATGTGGTGTAAAAAGACAAAGTAATGGTGGCTCCTACAGAAGCGTCCGAACCAAAGAGCAAAGAGCCCAGGAAAAAAAAAAAAAAAAAAAAGGGAGGGGAAGGGATTGGAGCGCGATTTGGGTGCGATCTGACCTTTCCAGGTACAAGAGGTTGTGAGCAGTCAATGTTACGGTTTAGATCTGTTATGTTGGTGTCAAGGAGACTGTTGATTGACGTGCACGTGTCACCCTGAGGTGGGTCGGGGGGGAAGAGATGGGTGTGTGTGAACGCGGGTGGGGATGAAGTAGGAGTTGTGATTCCAGTTTGATGCTTTGAGATTTGTGATTTCTGTTATAGTGATGTGTGTCAGGAGGGAAGGAGAGAGGGAAGCGAACGACGCAGGGAGACGAGAGGAGAGGAGCGTGTGAGCAGACATTCGAGCAATTCAAGCCTGACTGATTCCTAGGATGTGCAGTTTGAAGTGCATGTGTCTGCGGAGT